AACATCTCATCCCAGTTAATCTGATCTGGCCTAATATACATGCGCAGAACCTGCTGCAGGATCTTGTTCATTTGCTCTGTCTGACCGTTAGTCTCTGGATGGCGGCCGGACGACATCAACAACTTAGATCCGTATRCTCCCATGAGTTCTTGCCAGTTCTGGCTRGTAAAGCGACTATCTCTATCGCTAACTATAGACAGCGGGATTCCATTCTCACTAACCCAACAGTCAAAGAACCTCTGTATAACTAAATCAGTACGCGCCTCAGAAGGCAAAGGAACAAAAACTGCGTACTTGCTAAAGCGATCAACTATGACCATGACTTGGCTCTTGCCATGCCTGCTCTTGACTTGAGTGTCCATGAAATCTATTGACACTGAGTCTCCTGGCTGATCCGGAATGCACAAGGGTAGGAGAAGACCTAACGGGGCACGCGTAGAAGACTTGTTACGCTGGCAGACCTTACAACTGCGAACATACTCTACGCAGTCATTCTTCATTCCTGGCCAGGTATACGCGCGCATCAGATTGGCTAAGGTCTTTTGCCAACCAAAATGACCTTCCGTGTCATGGCATTCTCCCAGGATCAGACTGCGGATCTTTTCGCTATTGGGGATGCACAAHCGGTCAAAAACATTAGTCTTCTCAAAAAGCAACCCTTCAATAGTGCGGTAGTTCGGCTCGGTCTCTAGGGCCTCCTTGACTTTCTTAAGGAGCTCACCATAGATAGGGTCCTGCGCGTAGGCTTCTCTAACCTGCTGCTGCAGATCCTTTCCTATATCGAGGTAATGTACTATTGCCCCAAAGTAATCAGCTCTTCTACTCAGAGCATCCGCGACTACGTTGTACTTCCCTTTGACAGGCTTGAGCTCAAAGTCGTACTGATCTATCTCTGCGGCCCACCTAGTAAGCTTAGGTGTCATCTTGGCCTGCGTCTTTAACCATCGTAACGTTTCATGGTCAGAATAGACTTTGAAGTGCCTCCCAAGCAAGTAGTGCTCCCAGTGGTCTAAGGCTTGCCTGAGAGCGTAGAGTTCCCTCTCGTAGGTAGATGTCGCGACCTTCTCCGAAGGCATTCTAGCGGACATGAACTCTACGGGTCTATACCCATTGCCATCGTCTTGCTGTAACACTGCGCCTATGCCGTACTGGCTAGCATCCGTAGTAACGACAAAAGGCAAGGACGGATTGGCGACCTTAAGGACCGGATACTCTATCAATGCCTGCTTTAGCTTCTTCATGGCAGACATGCAGTCCTTGTCCCACTTCCAGATTGTTTCTTTTCTTAGCAATCTGCGAAGGGGCGCAGCGATGGTGGAGAAGTTCCTCACGAACTTCCTGTAGTAATTTGCTAAGCCCAGGAACGAGCGCAACTCTGTCAGCGTGCGTGGCGTGGGCCAATCTCTAATCGCTGCGATCTTGCTATCTTCTGGCTTAACGCCGTCTCCGTCTAAGACGTGGCCTAGATACAAAATTTGGGTCTTCGCCCAATCGCACTTCTTCGCATTGATCTTGAAGTTAGCTTCTCTCAGCTTCTCCAAGACCTGCCTGAGATGACCCTGATGCTCGTCGAGGGTCTTACTAAATACTAGAATGTCATCTAGGTAAACTACAACGAATCTATCTAACCATGGCCTAAACAAATCATTCATACAACGCTGGAAGGTAGCTGGCGCATTGGTTAGTCCAAAGGGCATCACTACAAACTCATAGTGCCCGTACCGAGTCCGGAAGGCTGTCTTATACTGATCATCAGGATGTACCTCTAYCTGATGGTATCCGGACTTTAAGTCTATCTTAGAGAAGTACTTGGCCCCCTGCACTCGATCCAAAAGATCGTCTATCCTAGGCAGTGGCTCAGCATTCTTTACTGTAATAGCATTCAGACCCCTATAGTCTATACACATCCTCAACTCTCCCTCTTTCTTAGGGACAAAGAGAACAGGGGCTCCAAAAGGAGACGAACTGGGCCTAATCCAACCCTTTTCGAGGAGCTCGTCCAATTGCTTCCGTAGCTCCTCTAACTCCTGCGGGGACATCCTATATACAGCTCCCTTAGGTGTTCTACTACCAGGCTCTATCTCAATACGGTGCTGGATGGGCCGCGGCATCGTGCCTGTCGGCGGCTTGGTTAAATCCTTAAACTCTTCCAACAATTTGGCAATAGTAGGGTCTACGGGCTTCTCCTCTATAGGCTCAGTCACTGGCCTAACATAGGCAACAAAGACCTGTTCCTCCAATCCCTCCTTCTTCRCCAKTCTGGCGAACGCGGGGGCACTAAGACAGCAGTGCGCCAAGGAATTCTCTACCCCTGACGCATGAAACAGGCGGGTAGTCTTGGCCTCGCCTGACGAACTAGGGAGCCTACACTCGTGCTCCTTCAAATGGAGCGTGGCCCCGGCTGCCTCTCCCCAATCCATTCCCAGAACAATGTCGAATGGGAGGCTGTCTTCTACVAGGAGAGTCAGGGAGTGGAGGACCTTCTCCACTTTCCCATCCTTCTCTAGGCGGAAATACGCCTGGACTCCCTCTACATACTCCTCTACGACCATAGTACGATTGTCCGCGAGAATACTAACTATGGGGTCTGTCAGTCTCTGGACTTTAAGTCCCAGCCTCAACTTCTGCAGCGCTTTCCTACTAATATAGCTGCGAGTGGCCCCTGAGTCTACTAGGGCCCCTACTCTACTTCTAAAAATCTCTGTATCTAGTAATATAAGCTGCCCTTTGTTCTCCTTCTTCATCTTGGCCCAGGCGGGCATCCTCTCCTTCAACTCTTCGGCCACGCCTGTGAGGGAGGYGTCTAAAGAGACCCTGACACAAGCAGTCTCTGGACAGCTATTTAGACACCAGCCTGCAACCTCTGCCATAGGCACATGTGGTGTGGGAGTCTCCTGCCGGCTAGCGCTATGTTCCCCACATGGCCTAATGGTAGGGGCAGTTGCTACCCTTACCGGCGGCTGCCTTTTGGCCCTAGGGCAGCCGTTTGGGTCTCTCTATACTTAGGACAATATTTGATGATATGGCCCGGGTCACCGCAGAAAATGCACTGGCCCCGGTCCAATTGTTGTTGCCACAAAGCCTGGTCCAGACCCAAAGATTCCCAAGGCCTACCCTGAGGTAGCCCTGGGTGCCATCCTCCTATTCTATAGGGAGCCTTATTCCAAGGACGGTTTTGCGGGGGACCTTGACCCCTGCCTCCCGCTTGGCGGTTTCCTCCTCTGCCGCCAACCCCCTGATCGCCCTGAAATCGACTCCCTGAGGCCCGGCCCCCTTGGCCCTGGCCTCTTCCTCCTTGCGGCCTCCCTCAAGCCGCGACAACAGCGTAAGATCTCTCTTGGCCCACACCGCTGTCCGCCTCCTCTAATCCCCACTCAATCTGGTCGTAGGGAATCTCATCCACAATACCCTCATCTAAAGTCAGGACAAGGCTATCCTTGGTCTTTACCTGCCCTGAGATAGTGCGGCCTTTCCATTGCTTACCCCTGTCCAAGTCATTGTGCCAGAAGGTAGACAGGGACACTGACTTTGCTTCAAAAGCCACCACCTCACGACTAAGGGAATCGTAAGTGGTGGCAGGGTCTTCGCTCTTCGCGAAGAACTGCCCTCGAAAGGCTTCGGGCATAGCCCGGTAAAAGAGGTTGACCAACTGGCCCTCTGTGACCCCATGGTCAGGGACAGCTACCAACTCATCCATTGTACCCTTGAGTGCCCTGGCACTCTTCCATTTACGGGAATGGATGGTTTGGAGCTTGTCTGAGGCCCTGACACTGCGAGCGACATCAGCAAATCGCTMGCGCAGCAACTTCAGAAATTCGGTGAGGGATGTAAATGAGGAGTACGCAACGGGATCATCAGTACAGTTGGCTGCGCGAACTAGGGACCTTGCAAAACTGGCAGCCTCTTCTTTCAGCGCGTGGATAGCAATTAGGACYTGCTGATCTAGGGAGACCTGCTGCAAATGCACATAGGTCTTAACGTTGGCCTCCCAATTATCAAAGTTTTCTTCCCTCCTCCCGCTATAGGAATCGGGGAACTTGACTTTGACAGGCTCCCGGCGAGGAGGACGTGCTTCCTCCTCCTTGGGAGCTGCCGCCTTGACGCCTTCAATGGCGCCAGCGCAGAACCGCTCAGTCTTGTCGAGGCAGTGACCCACCTCGACTCCAACGGCGCCTACCAGCTCACGCGCAAAGTCTCGAAAGCCCAATCGTATCGAGCGCACAGCTATGTCCTGACTTCTGC